AGTTTCTTGTTACCATCCTGGTCTATGCTCCACAACTATGAGCATTCCAGAATTGGTAGAATTTGGATTCTTCACAAGAATCATATTCACATCACTGTCTCTTCCATGAGCTGCCAAGCCATTCATTGCCATGTTTATAATTCTTTGTCTAGCCAATATTTTTTCTTGAGTGCCATTTATGCTGATCCTTACTTGGATGCTATTAGACAGATATTATGGGATGAATTAATTCTTTTTAGCCAGGCACTACCTGCTATTCCATGGCTAGTGGGAAGGGATTTCAATGACATAAGATCTCCCTCAGAGAGATCAGATGGAGCAAGCATCTCAAAAGAATCTCTTTCTTTTCATGATAAGCTTAATGCTGCTGAGCTCCATGACATTCCTTCCTCAGGTTTTTATTTCACCTGGTGCAACAATAGGGAGGATGGTCCCATTACTAAAAAGTTGAATCGCTTAATGGTCAACGATGTTTGGTTTGACTTATTTCCAGGCACTAATGCATAATTTTTGCCCCCTGGCTGCTCAAACCATTGTGCAGGTTTGGTAGGTATCCAAGCCCCTGAAGTTAACAATCGAAGGAGGCCATTTAAATTCTTCAACTTCTGGATCAAGAATGAGAAGTTTTTGGACATAGTGAAGCAAGTCTGGGAAACAAATCAAGTGCAAGGTTGCTATATGTTCCAACTTTGCAAAAAGCTAAAGGCTCTAAAACTTGCCCTCAAGAAATTAAATGCTGAATACTATGTTGATCTCTCAAATAAACTACAACAGTAAAGGTAAAAATTGCATCTGATTCAAGCAGATTTATTGGCTAATCCTTCTGCAGAAATGGTTCAGGTTGAGCATGATCAGGTTCAAAAAGTTACGACTCTACAATTGGTTGAGGAATCATTCTACAGGCAAAAATCACGAATAAAATGGTTGCAAGAAGGTGATAACAATACCACCTATTTTTATAAGGTAGTCAAAGTCAGGAGGGGGAAAAGTGTAATCAAGGAGCTCTATACAAAAGACAATAAAAGGCTTACCACAGTTCTTAGCATGGAGAATGAGGCAGTCAGATTTTATCAAGAGCTTTTTGGAACTGTAGATTCAAACTGTACTGAGGCCAGCAATTCTTGGCTTAAAGATTTGTTCAATTTTCAACTACCTGTAGATATGGCAAACTCTCTCATCCATCCTGTTATAGAGGAAGAGATTAAGGTTGTGGTTTTCTCAAGTCCTGGAAATAGGTCTCCTGGCCCATATGGTTTTACAGCAGAATTTTATAAAGCTACCTGGTCTATTGTGGGTGACTTAGTTGTCAAAGCTATTAAAGAATTTTTCTCCTCTGGTCAATTGCTAAAGGAGGTTAACTCCACCATCATTTCCTTGGTGCCAAAGATCCAGAATCCAACAAAAATGACAGAATTCAGATCCCTTGCCTGTTGTAATCTGTTTTACAAGTTTATTACAAAAATCTTGGCCAATAGATTCAAGAAATGTCTACCTCTCTTTATCAGCAGGAGTCAGTGTGCTTTTGTGGAGGGTAGGCTTATGGTAGAAAATGTTCTCCTTGCCCAGGAAATTGTGAAACACTACCATAAGCAGTGCTTGAGCCCCAAATGTGCTTTGAAAATTGATTTAATGAAAGCCTTTGATTCAGTATCTTGGGATTTTATATTCCAAATTCTACTCTCTCTTGGCATTCCCAGTCAATTTGTCAATCTGGTTAAAGCTTGTGTGACTACTCCTAAATTTTCTGTGGTTTTCAATGGAAATTTATGTGGTTACTTCTCAGGAGAGAAAGGAGTTAGGCAAGGGGATCCCTTATCCCCATACATTTTTGTGGTATGCATGGAGGTCCTTTCTCGTATGTTGAACAAAGTCGCTGAAGAAGGAAAATTTGCTTATCACCCTAAATGCAAAAATGTGCAACTTACACACTTATGTTTTGCTGATGATCTCATGATATTCACAGATGGTAGCCTAGCCTCTCTAAATGCAATTGATGCTATCTTGATGCATTTTTATAAGGTTTCTAGCCTAAGAGTGAACTATGTTAAGTCAGAATTGTTCTGTTGTGGGTTATCTACATCACATACCCAGTTACTTGCTGAAAAATTTGGTTTCAAGATTAGTACACTGCCAGTCAGATATTTAGGAGTACCATTGATCACGGGGAAGCTTGCAAAGAAGGATCTCAGGCCTTTAGTCTCTAAAATCACTGAGATAATGTCCTCCTGGGCTGCTAAACATCTCTCCTTTGCTGGTAGATTACAACTAATCTCCTCGGTAATTCAAGGCATCACCAATTCTTGGTGTTTTGTTTTCATATTGCCTAAAGGGATTATTAAAGAAGTGGAAAAGATATGTGGCGCTTTTCTTTGGAATAATGAAACTTGCAGTGCTAGAGGGGCTAAGGTGAGCTGGTTGCATGTCTGTACTCCAAATTAGGAGAGGGTCTAAGACTTCGGAACTTAGTTCAGTGGAATCAAGCTTGCATTTTAAAGTTTATATGGCTGTTATTCTCAAGGGCAGGTTCTGTTTGGGTTGCTTGGGTCCAGGAAAACTTACTTAAGGGCAGAAGCTTTTGGTCTATTAATATTCCTTCTGATGCTTCTTGGGGATGGAGGAAAATTTTAAAACTAAGGCCATTAGCTAGAGGGCTAATCCAGCACATACCAAGGACTGGTCAGAACACTTATCTCTGGCATGATAATTGGCACCCTGCTGGCCCACTGTTAGAAGTTTATGGAAACTCTATTGTTCATGATTCAAGGATACCTTCCCAAGCTAAACTAGCCAGTGTTATAAGTGGTAGATTTTGGAATTGGCCTCCTGCTAGATCTCCCCAATTGGTGGAAATTCAAATACCTCTTTTTGATATTCATCCTAGGGAGGGTGAAAATGATTTAGTTATTTGGTTGACCTCCCCATCTGGATCTTTCCAAACTGGTTAGACTTGGCATTGGTTGAGACACAAGTAGCCCAGGAAGGTATGGCATAAACTTGTTTGGTTTCCTCATGCTATCCCTAAGCACAGCTTCATAGGTTGGCTAGCCATACTTAATAGATTGACTACAAAAGCTAGACAAAAGCAATGGACCCCTACCATCTCATATACTTATATCCTATGCAATAATAACTCAGAAACTTCCGAGCACTTGTTCTTTAAGTGCAGTTATGCTAACACAATATAGAGGCAGATTAGTACTATGATTAATATTCCCTTTGTGGACTCTTGGCAAGACTTATTACATTGGATGGGGAAAAAGGTCAGAAGAAAATCTTTGCTTAGCATTTTGATCAAACTCTCATGGAATGCCACTGTCTACAACATTTGGATGGAAAGAAACAGAAGAGTTCATCTATCATAAATTTTTTGATGGGTAAATTTTTATAGTATCTTTTGACCAAGAGCAACAGAGAGATATGGAAGCTAGACAAGGTGGTGCAGGAACAAAGATGGGGCACATACCAAAGTGATCTTTTTGTAGATCATCATTTGACTCTGTGCTTCATGTTGTTCTCCCATTGAAGCAGAAAATTGCGATTGCTTACAAGGTTTGACCTAGATTTATATCTTTCATCCTAATTATGTTAGTTTGCTAGGAAAATAATATTACAGGGTTTATATGGCACCCATATTATTTTCCTAGCAAACTAACATAATTAGGGTTTATATGGGTATGGGCAAACTAACATCACTTGATTGCAGGTTTTAGGGGTGCCATTCCCTTGGTTGGGGAATTAAGTTTAGTTTGGGAACCCTTCTGATTTTCAAGATGACAGAGATTTTGCATTAGAAGAAATTCAAAACACTCCCTGAACCTGCTAAGAAGATTTTGATGGATTAAGTTAAGATTTTGATGGATTAAGTTAAGGGCATATAAGTTAATAGATAAATAATTAATTAAATCACAAATGTTTTTAGATCCAACAAATTATTCAGTATAGCTATTAAAAAAACGCAACTGCTAAAGGTCTTTATAACTATTAGTTGATTCCTAATAATTGAAAAAAAA